TATTTATTATTATTATTATTATTATTATTTATTATTATTATTATTATTATTATTATTATTATTATTATTATTATTATTATTATTATTATAGATTAGAATTGAGTAGTAGATTTAGGGCCAAGTAGAGTCGATAATACTACCTTTTACACTTAAGAATATTTATCAGAGCAGATTTTAATTTTATTTACATTCCAGGGGGCTACGGTGACCGTAACAGTGGTGGTGATGGAATGGTCGTGCAAGAAGATACCATTTTCGTGTCTGGAATGGATCCATCTATTTCAGAAGACGAAATTTGTGAACATTTTGGAGCTATTGGATTAATTAAAGTGAGTCTTTACATCCAAAGATATAATATAAAATCTAATAAAATTGATCATATATAAATAATTTAATTGAAATATTTTATTAAAGCACGATAAACGCACTGGGAAAGCAAAAGTGTGGATGTACAAAGATAAAAATACTGGAAAATCTAAAGGAGAGGCAACTGTAACTTACGATGATCAAAACGCTGCGCTCTCGGCCATAAAATGGTTCGACGGAAAGGATTTCAAGGGTTGTAAAATTAAAGTACAAATAGCACAGCATAAGAGTAGTTGGCAAGGTAATCGTAGCAGTGGTGGTCGCGGAAGCGGTGGCAGAGGAAGAGGAGGTGGTGGATTTGGTGGACGTGGAGGAGGTGGTGATAGAGATGATCATTATCGTGGCGGTGGTGGTGGTGGTAGTGATGATCGTCGTGATGGTGGAGGACGTGGTGGTGATTGGAGGTTCGTTAATATTACTAATTAATTAATTAATTAATTATTCTTTTAGATAGAATATAAATATATTGATATCATTACCTAAAAGATTAATAATAATTTGTTGCTTAACAATTAATTATTCTTAATTTTCTTTCAATTTAGGTGTCCAAATCCAGACTGTGGTAACACAAACTTCGCTTGGCGAGATCACTGCAATCTCTGTAAAAGTTCTAAACCAGAAGGAGCTGGTAGCGGAGGTGGTGGCGGTGGTGGTGGCGGCGGTGGCGGTGGTGGTGGCGGAAGAGGAGGTGGTGGCCGTGGAGGAGGTGATCGAGGCAGTCGTGGTGGATTCCGAAGTGACAGGGGTGGTGGCCGAGGAGGAGATAGAGGAGGAAGAGGTGGAGGATTTCGTGGTGGCGACAGAGGTAGAGGAGGTGGACGCGGCGGACCAATGAGAGGAGTTGGCGGGTATGTTATTAAATCTTTTTCTTTTTTTTTTTTTTATATATATTACATTATTTTCGCTTATCGTTTTTGTAATTTTTTTTATATAAATATGGTGCATTTCTATTTTATTTCAGACGTGGAGATAGAGACAGAGACCGTCAACGACCTTATTAAATTTGTATTCATCTAACAATTTGAAATGCGTTGTTTTATTAACAACAGTCTATACATACATAAATACGTACAGAAAATTCCTTTCCCTCTCACACAAACATACACTCACATACAGTGTATAGACATTATATAAATATTTTGTACGCACTCTTCTTGGAGTTATGTACATTATTTCTCGACAAAAAAAAAAATAATCATGACGGATTATGTCATTACCATTCAGTTTTGTCACATAGTTTTTATATTCACTAAAGAAAAAAAAAAAGAAGAAGAAGAAAAAGAAGAAGATTAGAATTATGTAATGAGGCTACATCTACGTTTTACATTTCATGCAAATAATAATAACCTTCCATGTAAAGTTAATTTTTAATAAATAAGACATTAGTCTAGTAAATATTAAAAAAATAAAGTATACAAAAAAAATATGTGCGGTAAATATCTTCTATTTTTAACTTATATTCATTTATATGTATATTTAATTTTACACTTTGGAACTATTAGACTCGTCAAAGTATATTTTGTTTAACAGTGTAATAATTAAATTTTAAATACCGTAAGTAACAATAAGATTCTGAATATTGAAATGGTACAATAAAAAAGATTTCATAAGTTGTAAGATTAAAACTACAAACTGCAGCAATGTAAGTTTGGATTATTGTTACTCATACGACGATAAATTTAATCTTTAAAGCTACTGCATGATTTTTCGTGACACTGTATTTTTGTATGGTAATGCCTCTACACTGACTGCATGTGATTAATAGCACAAAAAAGTTGGCATATACTTCACCTCAAAAAACTTGGCATAGAATCGCAACTGCAGAAAAAAATAAAAATATTTACCTATTGTTTATATACTATGAACGATTAATATTAATTAATATTATTACGATAATAATATTAATAATTATATATATACGATAACCTAATATATATATTTTTTTAAACGACTTTATCGACCGATACGTCGGTCGGTAATCGGTGCTTCATGATAGTTGTTGTATTACTTTCTAGAGGGTACCACTGATTTTAAAATTCCAGTATGGCCGGAAGTTTTATATCGAATTTTAAATGTCACAATTTAATGGAAAAAATCGTGATAATGCAAGTGATTTCAAATTGTGTTTTTTGCATTTAATCTCGTAATTGTTTAATTCTGACGTAATAGAAATTTCACGTAACGGTAATGATTAAAAACATCTTTAATATTAGATTTTGTCAAAGTGAGTCAATCATTTCAAAGTGTTTTTGCTTCACAAAATAATTTATATATATATATACTTCTATATGAACAAAAGAAAAATTATTATATACTAGATATTTTCTATTGTAGATAATATATTTAAGAACATATTGTTACAAAAAATGAATAATATAACCCAAACAAAACCGATAGAGTCATCGATAAGAAAGAAACTGAAAGAATCATTAGACCCATATTTCATTGATGTCATTAATGAATCTTATATGCACAATGTACCTAAAGGCTCGGAAACACATTTTAAAGTAATTGTTGTATCCGAACAGTTCAACAACAAACCTTTGCTTACGGTAAGAATACACCATTGATCTCTTGCGCTATGATTTAATAAACTGAGCTGCATGCCATATTCGGTGCTATACTTCTTACTTTTTATATTTGGCTCATGAGATTTTTAAAATTCAGGATGTCTTGTAATTAGTGATACAAGCAAGCAGTAAGCAAAACAAAAGAGTGATATTTGAAATATCCAAAAGTAGTGTAAAATAGCAAAAGAAAACAAAGCCTTGTAAGAACTAATTGTATTTTACATTTTCAATTAAATTTTTCATATATAATCCAACCTCTTATGTTTGCTTACACCATCAGTTACAGGATACCCTGTATACTTCAATAAAATTGCTATACTTAGGTCAACGAAATAAATAAGATGTATTAAATATTTATTTCGATATTATTCAATCAATTTATTTTTATTATAAATCATTATAAATATTAGATAATATTTAATTTGATTCAGCGTCACCGTATGGTACATGATTTATTAAAACTTGAATTACAACATGATATACACGCGCTTTCCATCATAGTAAGTTTTCATTATTTATATATAATACTTTTAAAATGTTGAAATATGATTGATTGATTGATTGATTTATTTATTTCGTTTCTAATTATTAAAATAATCTTGTTTAAAACAAAAAGGCTAAGACACCTGAACAATGGGAAGAAAGTGACAAAACTTTAACGTCCAGTCCTGCATGCAGAGGAGGTTTCGGAAAGTAATGATTATATTATATATGTAATAGTACGTAAAAAGATAGTATATAATATTTCATACGATAATTGAAATATATATCTACCAAATAAAATTCAATAAAATATAATTTTAAAGAACAGATCATAATTACTAAAAAAGAAAAAAAAACAAATAAAACGTATTATTAATGTCACAAAGAAAACGTATCTAATCTTAATCTTCCCTCATTTTCGGTCAGATAAAGTATATCTGCCATAGACTGTTCAGCAATAGCTTCTTCCGCTTTATCATGCATCTGTAAATGGCATGTTACGATTAATAATATAAATGTGATATAATATCAAATTGAAATACAATTATTATGGTAATACTTACTCCACGGAAAGTGGTATCGGTAGGAGGACATTTAAAATTAGGTCCAAAATTGACTGAAACTGTTGCACTTTTATGTATTGAAACAGTTGGATAATATGCTCCTCTGTTGATATCTATAAAAGCTTCGCCTTGATTAACACCATTTTTGTAATACACTATTTTACTTCCCGATAGAGATTTCAAAGCTTTTAATGCTTCTGGTACTTGATCTTTCTCCTCGTAATAAAGGTGACTCTTGAATTTTACTAATGGCTAAATTACAATGCATATTAATTATTATATAATTTAATGTATATAATAATAATATAAAAGTGATTTAGTCATTTATTTACTCTGTCTTTATATGTATTTGGAAGATGCGACGCATCGTATGTATCGGGTAAAGATATAAGAAATCCTAAAGTATCTCCTTCTCCATAACTATTGCTATAATGTTTTCCTCTACTTTCATGAAATCTTGTACCTTTCCTGTAAAATTAAAAACACATTTTATTATATATAAGAAAAAGAAAAGTAGATGAAGAAATCTTAATGCATACCTGGATCTCCAGGAATATCCAAATTTGTCGTAGCCCAACGGTGCTTGTAGATTAGCATATTCTTGTGCCCAACCAAGTCTAGTAGCAGATCCTTCAGGCATTTCTTCAATTGTTGCTTCCCAATACCAAGTTCCTTTACATACACCTAAAATAAATTAAAATTAATGTTAAAAATATCATTTTTATTTTTATGATTAGTTATATATTTATATTATATGCAGTCTTGAATACTTATAACCAATATATAATACATACTATGCGTGGCTCTGACCATGCAATATCCTTTTTCACCGGTGACTGCTAATCTGTCTTCAGAAACCCTTAATTGAGGAGCACGATCATGTAAAGCAAGCAATACTGCACTTGGACTTAAAGGTCTGTACAACCAACCAGGAATTGGTTTACCTGCCCAATCGCTACTCTCGTCAAACTCCTATAATATCAACAATATATCATTCGTACACATTGTATACATTTGAAAAAATCGATCAAAAAGAATTAGATTTTATCTACTTGTCTAAAAGGTGCATGAGGATCTGGTTCAGCGAGTATATATCTGTATCCATCTTTGTTAAAAGGATGTTCTAAAGGATAACCATGTGCTGGTAATTTGGGTGCTGCCATATCCGAACTTCTACCCTTTTTTCCAGGCCCAGCACCTGCACCTTCTCCGGGTAGTTTACGTTTTGCATTACGACCACGTAGTCCTCCACTTAGCGGCACTTGATATTCCATGATAATAAAATTAATTAATAAATTTTTAATGGGCTAAATTATTGTGTCATTTGTTCAAAATTTGTTTATTATTATGTGAACTATTAAATTCAATTAATTTCATATATTTATTTTTTTTAATATATATATATATACGTCCAATAAATAAATAATAA